AAATATAGATTATAAATTTTAACCAACTCTAATAACAGAATGTTTGAACTATAAATGCTTTAAGTAGAAGTACCTTTTTTTAGCCATAAACTATAAAGTGCAAAATTTGAAAGCTGCAAGTCTTCATAATTCTATCATTTTAATTTAATTTTTTTACATTTATTCATTTTGAAACAGCTATAGTGCATTATAGTTAATGAGTTTTAAAAACGAGTGTTGGTGTAAAATATTTGCCTGATGTATTTTCAAATATAATGAAAAAACACATGGCATTAAATATGAAGACATGTGAACAATTTCCACCCGTATAGCTATATATAATGCACAATAGCCACACATGGCCTAATCATGCTTCTTGCAATTTGCTCAATAAGTGTGATTGAATGGTATTGACAATATGGCGTTGATTTTTTTCCAAAAATCATGAATCTAGCAAACATGCAGCAACATTGTCCAATTAAAAAATTTTGGGCAAACATAAATCCTAAAATTAATTGGAAATGACGCCAATCATTTCCATCTATTTTGAATCACCGCAAGCATTGCAAAATTTTATGAATACTGTTGTCCAAAAGCGAGGTATCCACAATAAATTTAAAAAATATTCTGATCAGCTCAATGATTATTTTCTAAAAACTTTAATGTATTTAAAGATAAATTTGCTTTAAACCATTTGAAAAATGATAAAAATTGATTATGTGATTCTTAAAATTTTTCAAAAAACCAGATCATTCTATATCAATCCAGACAGTCTTTCTTTATCGAAAATGTTACACATTCAGCACTGCCCACTTATTTACTGCTTAGTTCAATGCCCAATAAAATTTTGCATTGTATAAATATACACTAGTTTTATTTTTCCATCTATTTAATAATACTGAACTTAATAATAGTAGTAGTGCACTTTCGAGCCTGTTTGACACAGAACTCTTGGCAGCCATTGCAAGCGAGGTGATGGCAAGAAAGAGTCGCAGCACTTTGTTTCATAAGAAAACGTGAACAAATGTGTATGCAAATATCTAACATATGATAACTTCAAATTAAGTAATGTTAAAACATTCTGAAACATTTACCAAGTTTAACAATTTGATTTCCATTTGAAAATTGCGTCAAGTTCTCCTTAATTTTTGTCTATTACATTTATTTCCGCTAAAAAATCATTATATACTTTAAAAAATTTTCATTCATTTACATACCAGCATGGCCGAGTGGATAGCGCAAAACATTGAGTGAAATAATTTGTTGCGTATGTGTCATGATTGAGATACTTATGTTAATAATGTGCTGATTAGTCCTAATACGCTTTTTACTATAAATATATGCTGCACCATTTTTCAAAACGCCTTTTAGCATATCTAGTACGTATTTCGAGAAAAAAAGCAATTAAAAAAAAATTAGTAGGAGAAACTCTTTGTAAAACATTTTTTGAAATGAATGATTTTTATGAATTTTTTCAGAACTATTTGAAATATGTATTCAATAATGTTTTTTTACTTTAAGGTGTTTTGAAAAATGGCTGCAGTATGTATAATACAACAAATATGTTGAAATAAGATATTTTGACATCAAATTTAAAAACTTTTAACAAAAGCCACTAAACCAAAGAAATTAAATTTTGTTGCAGTTCAGCGCACTTAAAAATTTTATGTAAAGTGTATTGGTGTTTGCAAAGAAACATATAAATCATTTTTTAATAAATATTTTAATTTTTTTTAAACTTTGTTGCGCTTAACCATCTATATATAAACAATATATACAAACAATATATATATAAACAATATATATATATATATATATATTTATATATAAAAATAATATATATATATATATATATATATATATATATATATATATATATATATATATATATATATATATATATATATATATATATATATATATATATATGTATACACATATATATATATACACACACATATATATATATATATATATATATATGTATATATATATATATATATATATATATATATATATATATATATATATATATATATATATATATATATATATATATATATATATATATATATATATATATATATATATATGTTATTTGTTTATATATATTGTTTTTAAAATGTTTTTATATTGATTAAATTTGATAAAATTTGTTTATATATATTGTTTATAAAATGTAAAATACCAACTTATGTAACGTTTTATTCAGGATCGTATGTAATATAAGTAAACTTTTCTAATAATTACAAATCTTTTTTTGCTCAAGCTGTTTTGTTTTGATTTTTTGTAGGTATGTTATTATATTTTTCACGTCACTTTGTGGCAAAAAAACAATAAAAACAAACTAAAATAAGATTTTATTTAAATTTTTCAGAAAAACTTCTATTAAAGATATGGAACATTTTTTATGGGATGTATACTTATAAAGACAAAAATTACTTATTTATTACTTTTGTAATAAATACAAACTCTTATCCGTGAAATGATATCTGTATCAGTTTTGTAGCTTTTTATAATTTTAAGTATGTGCAATTATATGCAAAATACTTAAAATCAATCAAAAAATGTAAAATGTAAAAATGTTAGATGCAAAAGGAAACTTGACGCATAAAGGCTTATTTTGTCACAAACTGACGTAAATGCGTAAAAAAATTTTGGCTTAACTTTTACATTAGCGTTTAATAATTTTCTTTAGTTTTTAATCATAATCATAACAATGAACTTTTTTTTTATGACTATGTTCTAAGATCTTCTTAGTTCATTTATATAACACCATGTAAAAGCCTCTGTAAGTATAAATGTCTTTAGCATATGTTGAGTTTGCAGGCATTATATGAAATAATCATGTATATCTATAAAATGATATATCTATATATATATCCAGCGTGTAAAATAATGGCCGGTCCAAATGACCGCCCAAAATGAGTAAAATTGCTATTTTGAGCTCCCAAAATGAATTCTTGGCGGTCATGGTTGACCAGTTTTGGCAGTCATGGTTGACCAAAATGAATTCTTGGCGGTCATGGTTGACCAAAAAATAATTAGAGTTTTGAAAAACAAGATTTGAAAAATAATCAGATTATTATTTGGAAAAGGCATGTACTAAATTATCATATAGTCATAAAAATTTTGAAAAAGTTTATCAGTTTATCAAACTTACTTTAAGAAATAAAATGAAAATCTGCGCGCTTAATTTTAAACTATTAACGCCTAATATTAAACTATTAATTTTAATGTTAGTTGCTTGCAAGTTAAAAAAAGGAATACTAATTCGTTAATTATCAAATATTAAGTTATTTTTGTAATTATAAAGTTCAGTCATGAAGAACTATTACAAAGATTAAAAAAAAAAAACAAAGAAAATAATAAAAATGATGACCATCCTAAAAAAACAGTTGACCGTCAATTTCAAGGGTTAGCTGATCAAATTGACCGCTTGCCTTCGATTTCTTATTTTACACGCTGTATATATCTATATCTATTTTACACGCTATTCTTATTTTACATGCTATATATAACTATATATATCTATATATATATATATATATATATATATATATATATATATATATATATATATATATATATATATATATATATATATATAATGTATATATCTATAAAATGAGAAAACTTCAAGTTTTATTTTAAATTTTATAAATCTTTTTTACTATAATATTATTTTTTTGCTATAAATATATAAGCAAGATTGAAAAAATATTAAAATTTATTACGCTAAGAGGAGGTCTTAAACCCCAAAAAACAGCACATATGAAATCGCACTTAACCACTGAGCTATCAATAAAATGCATTTGGCAGAAAAACAAACCTAGTTATAAATCTCTTATAAGCTCTACGTATGCAGAAAAGGTACGCATATTAAGTTTTTTACTTTTAGAGTTTTTTTTCAGAATAAATTATTTTACTAAATAATAAATTATTTTACAGAATAAATTATTGAAATAAATAAGGAGTAGGTATAGAAATAATCGGTTTGGAATAGATATTTATTCCAAAAGTAAATTGGTGAAGACCTGAAAATAATTTACAGATCCAGAAAGCTAGGATATATAAGGAAAAAGTTTGGTTTAGAATAGACTTACAAAGATCCGTATATTTACAGGTCCGATCTGATGGTTGTTTCTAAAAATTCCATAATTAATCTTATAATTAACAGCCATAAAAGTTTGTGTTAATATATGTTATTTTATTTTATATCGATTGAAGAGGCTTCAAAAATGTTTTTGAATAAAAAAATTAATTTAAAATCTTAGGTTATTTAGTTCAACTAATTACACAAAATTTAAATTATATAAAATTTATGACTTCTAAATGCTTCCAAATTAAACTTAAAATTTTTAAGTAATAATTACTAAAATAATAATTACTTAATTTTACATTTAAAGTTAAAAATAAGCTTCAAACAAGTTAAAACAATTGATTCACAAAAGCTTTTCTTCAGATAATTGGAAATGTTTGGTAAATTAGTACTATGTGTGGCTGATTTACTAACCATTTCATCCCTAAAATATTAAATGTTTTTAAAACAATCTTTTTTTTTAATTGAAGCAAAAAATAAGTTCATAAGTTATAACTTTGTATTATGTAACTTTAAATGTTTTAAATTTTTAAATTTCTTTTTTAAATTAAATTTTTAAATTTCACAAATTTCTATTTAAATATCAGGATAGTTTAAATATTCAAAAAAAAAATGTATTAACTTATCTTTATTATCTGTGTTATGTCTTTACTAAAGCAATTCTTTACGGAGCAAACAGTATGAGGTCCATGTCAGCCATGAAATCAAAATACATGTTAGTTAGTATTTGCTTGTGTTTACATGTATCATGTGAACACAAGTAAATATTATAAGTTTTTCAAAACTGAGGATCTATTGTAAGTATGTCTTTCTTTAAAAAATGATGTTAAAAATTATAATTTTATCAAATGTCTGTAGTGCATCAAAGTTTGAGTCTGTAAAATTTTTTGTTTAATCCAAATTTTGTAAATCTATTTAGAAAAAAAGAGATTAAGTACTTCCACTAAAAAAACTAATGATTATGAAGTTCCTGTAAACAACGAATATGCAGTTTTAGAAAAACAAGGTATTTATATATATACATATATATATCTTTAAATTTTTTTTAAGTAATTCATTAGATATTTTTTTAGATAAACAATATACAGTATATAAAATATATATGATTTTGACCAATAACAACAATTAAATTTATAATATTTTAATAATAATGATAGTAATAATAATTTGAATATAATATATATATATAAATTTCCCAAATTTCATCCCATTTCCTCACCCCAAGCGTAAGGACAACAAGTTGATAAAATATTTTTTGTATTATTCTTAACTAGATTTTTAGATTTTAAAAATTATAAACATTTAAAATTTGTAACCGCCTCAAATTGAGGGGAGATTAAACTTTATATGGTCATAATTCTTGAACGCTGCAAGATAATACTATAAAACTTAAAATTTATTGATGAATACAAGTCTAATTGAAGAATAAGAGTAGTACAAAAAATATTTTATCAACTTGTTGTCCCACGTTTGTGGGGGGAGGGAGGGATAAAATTTTGGGGCTTATTTGTTGCCAGCCTCCAATTATCGCTTTTTTTTTTTGCTAAGCATCATTATTTGATATAAGCATAAACATACAAATGTTTGGAGTTTGCTTCATATATGGAAGTTTGCTCTATGTATCTCAAACACCAAAAAATGCTGGTTCCGTCACTTTATATTTATTATTTTTATTTATGTATGCAAAAATTTTTCATTTATGTAAAAAGAAGAGTTTAGTTTAAAAAGAAATTATTTTGTTTGTGAGAAAAAAAGATTTTTAATTTCTCATTATGTTAAAAGCAAGAGAACTACATCATCTAGTACTTTTAGTTTTAATGTCGTCTGAATAACTTTTCTAAAATGCCGTTTTCATTCGTACTTTAAATTTGTCAAATAAGTTTAGTTCATTTAAATAACGCCCATAAAATGGAAAAACAGTAAATTAATTATGAAAAATGGTCATTTCATACATCCTAATATTAATACTTTAGACTAAAACAACAGAGAGCGCTACACAATGAAATTATGATCTTATGATGAAAATGCTTTGCAGCTACGTTACTAAGGTGTCCATAATAAGGAGGAGTCAGGGGAAAATCAAAGACTCCAATCAACCGGAGGAGGCTTAGGGGTTTTTGATGTACAAATGAATGATGTATGTCATCACCTAGATTCTTATATATAAATAAAAAAATTATGTTTATAAAGTTCAACTTTATTAAACGTTATTCGTTTATATTCACAATATCAAAGAGATTAAGTACATAAAATAAATAAAAGTCATAAAAATATCTTGACAACCCATGACCACAATTCCCTGTGCTATCATAACCACTTCTGGAGACCAAATATGGACAGATTTGATTTTCATAATATCAATTATTTATATTTAAACGCTTAAAATGTACCATCTAATTGAAAAACCATTGGAATATTCCATAACCACCCTTGATCACCCTTGATTATCTTTTATTATGACTGCAAAAATAGATTTACTTAGTACTAAGATAACGTATAGTTCTTTTAATACTAAATACTATTGTATAATAATACTACTAAAAATTCTATAGAATTTCTATAGAAACTTTATTAATTTCTAAAGAAATTGCAATAGAACTTTTTTTTTTCTATAGAAAAAAAAGTTTTATTGCAACTCCTATACAAATTAATAAAGTGTTTTAAAAGTTTATAGAAATTCTGTAGTTTTTTTCATGGGTGTTCATAAAGTAAGGTGACTTTATATCTTTATGAAAAAGTATTTATTTATTCTTAGTTATACAAGCTGTCTCAAAGTAATCCCTTTTTCTCAAAGTAATCCCTTTCTGTCTCAAAGTAATCCCTTTAAGTCCCCTTTTCTCCGGTATAATACACTGGTATCAATGCTTTTTTTAATCCTTAAAGCAATTTTTTTAAGCATTTATTGGTAAAGACATGATTCAATTTTTCATCCTCAAACATGGCAATTTTTCATCCTCAAACATGGCAAATCTCCGTCTTTTTATAGGTTTCTTTAGTTTTGGGAATAGAAAATATTTTCAAATTATGCCTAATTCTATAAATATAGTGGCTAATGCATGATTCTGTTTTTTTTTTTTGGTTAAACAATCCTTCAGAAGCGACAATGAACAAGTATTATTGTGATGAAAAAACCATGAGTTGTTTTGCTATAATTCCAGATTTTTTTCACTTAGAGCAGATTCGCAGTTTGCTATATTTCAAGTGTTTTGAAGCACTTAATAATCGATCTATTTTTATGATAGCAATTAATCAGCTGACCACACCAAAGCATTTCATTTATTTTCGTGTGCTCGGCTGAAACATTTGTATCTATCTATAAGAAACTAATAATGCTATATTGCTGAACTGCACACATCGTCAAAACAAGTGTTGAGGGCATATATAACACAACAAATGCATAAAATCTAAAATCGAATGGATGTCGCCTGCAAAATTTGGAAATTCACCTTACTTTTTGAACATACCTCGCATTAAAACACTTCGAACGCAATTTATTTATTTGAAAATACGAAATTAAAGTCTAAATGTAAATTTCTAGAAAATACTTATTGCCACGATGAACCAAACTATCAATATCGCGATGAACCAAACTATCATATCATAGAAGCGGAAAATTACAATTCTTTAGATTCTTCAGGTTAGTTGTTTTTATTTATCAAATATTTTAATTTATTTAAAATAAAAATAACATGCTAGGAGGCTAACTTGCGTAAACTAAAATGTTGTTTGAGACAAAAAGAAACTTTGGTCGTTCAAACCTCAATTCAAACTTATTTTAATTAAATGCTTCTAACAAGAAAAATTTTATAAATCTTCATTATTTAAATATTTGAGTAATGAAGTCTATAATTTTATAACTAAATTTTTTGTTTTTATAAATTATTTACAAAACGTTTTATAAAACTTCATTTAAAATTTATCGCCTAGATAATAATACAGATTTTAACAAAAAACGTAGTAAAGACAATTACAGCTTTGAACCAGAATACAAAGAACTTGAGGACAGTGGCAGATGTGTAGCCAATGATTCTAAAAATTATGCTTCGATTTATGCTTGTGTACCGGAAGTAACAAATGATAACTTGTCTTATTTCAAAAATAAAGTAAACCCAACCAAAAATGTTCTCACCGAAATGAAATTGAGTCCTGCAACCAATAGACCTTCAGATATATATACTTCAATAAAAAACAATCATGTTTCCAATAAAAATACTTTACCAAGTAGACCTACAGATATATACACCTCTTTGAATAATAAAGATGGCCAATCGCCTGAACCATATGCAATGTTAAAGTTTAACTCATCTACAGAAAAGCATGCGAAAAATAGCTAAAAAAAAATCAATTATTAGCAATTTGTTTTTAAAACTTTTAATTTTTAAATCTTCGATATTTTAATTTTGTATATAGTTAATAATAACAAGTTTTAATAAGAACAATTTGTAATGCATTTGATTTTAAAATATGTATTTAGTTTTATATAATAAAGTTTTATATTGACTGTATGTGTTTAGATGCATGTGTGTGTATATACACATATACACACACATATACACATACATCTACACACATACACACACATGAGTGCGTAGATGTATGTGTATGTGTGTGTGTAGATGTGTGTATACACACACATACATCTACACATACACATACATCTACACACATGTGTGTAGATGTATGTGTATGTGTAGATGTATGTGTGTATATACACGTATACAGACACACATACATCTACACACATATATTCAATTGTTAGGTTTTTTTATTATATTTTGTATGATTAAAAGAATCTTCAAAGAATATTTTCTCTTAATCGCACGTTTTTGATTTTTTTTTGCTATTTTACCCTTTAGTTCTCCTTCTGCAAATAATAAAGGTAACTGATACAAAAAGCTGATAATTATGATAACTTGTAAATAATGCAGCTGTTTCATTTATCCTGTTATATTATGTGTTATATTTTTCATATTTTCAAAATGTATAATTGATTAGCAATGCGTTTATGGGATAGAACAGCAGTGATTTGTTAATAATGCGTTTATGGGATAGAACAGCAGTGATTTGTTAATAATGCGTTTATGGGATAGAACAGCAGTGATTTGTTAATGTTACAACATTACTCTGAAGTACTGTATTACAGGAAAAAGTAAAAATAGTAAACTCCCTATGAAGTACTTTATTACAGGAAAAAGTAAAAATAGTAAACTCCCTATGAAGTACTGTATTACAGGAAAAAGTAAAAATAGTAAACTCCCTATGAAGTACTTTATTACAGGAAAAAGTAAAAACAGTAAACTCCCTATGAAGTACTGTATTACAGGAAAAAGTAAAAATAGTAAACTCCCTATGAAGTACTTTATTACAGGAAAAAGTAAAAATAGTAAACTCCCTATGAAGTACTGTATTACAGGAAAAAGTAAAAATAGTAAACTCCCTATGAAGTACTTTATTACAGGAAAAAGTAAAAATAGTAAACTCCCTATGAAGTACTGTATTACAGGAAAAAGTAAAAATAGTAAACTCCCTATGAAGTACTTTATTACAGGAAAAAGTAAAAATAGTAAACTCCCTATGAAGTACTGTATTACAAGAAAAAGTAAAAATAGTAAACTCCCTATGAAGTACTTTATTACAGGAAAAAGTAAAAATAGTAAACTCCCTATGAAGTACTGTATTACAGGAAAAAGTAAAAATAGTAAACTCCCTATGAAGTACTTTATTACAGGAAAAAGTAAAAATAGTAAACTCCCTATGAAGTACTGTATTACAGGAAAAAGTAAAAATAGTAAACTCCCTATGAAGTACTTTATTACAGAAAAAAGTAAAAATAGTAAACTCCCTATGAAGTACTGTATTACAGGAAAAAGTAAAAATAGTAAACTCCCTATGAAGTACTTTATTACAGGAAAAAGTAAAAATAGTAAACTCCCTATGAAGTACTGTATTACAGGAAAAAGTAAAAATAGTAAACTCCCTATGAAGTACTTTATTACAGGAAAAAGTAAAAATAGTAAACTCCCTATGAAGTACTGTATTACAGGAAAAATTAAAAATAGTAAAACCAGGCAATGCTATCAACAACAACAAAAAATCAAAATATATAATTAGGGCGTAATGTTTCCTAAACGTTTTAAAATAGTAGGAACATTTAAAAAAATTGAAATCATTTACAAAGACAATAGGGTTTTTTTTGATGTTGTTTTTTGTTTTGTTTTTTTATAAAATTTTTTAATGAAATTGTTTTTAAAATCAGTTCTATTTGCAGTAACATTCGAAACAGTCACCAATAAGTATACTTGCACTGAAATTGTTAGTACTGAAAAATCTAAAAATTTCATCGTGATTCTGAAAGAAGCAACAAAAACAATTTTTCATTATTGAAATTTTAAGATTAGCCCTTTTTTTATATAATCAAAATGCTGAAGAAAAGATATTAAAAAATTGCATCAAAATCTGTATTGAAAAATTGCATCAAAATGTTCCTAAAAAAGTTCTTATCAAGGGATTTCTTACATTTTTGGCTTAATATACAAAATAATAATCGCTACCAGCTTAATGTAATGTTAGATTTTTGGCTTAAAACTGTTTAAACTTTTGGGGTTACACTTTGAACGGTTAAATAAAAAGATTCTTTTGAAGAAATCAATCTTTTCCGAAAATTTTGCGTCCAAATGATTTTCAAAGCATGCTTTAAAAATCATTTAGATGCAATTTGAAATATGCTTTGAGAGATCCAAATGTTTGAAATGCTCCATAGAACTAGTTGTGCACCTTGTACATGAGTGTGACTGAATACGACACAGTATATTAACAACCTTCATCTTATATGGTACAAAAAAGCTTCTTGGATCTGATAGTACGAGTTTGAGATACTTTTTAGTGTAATTTATTTCGCCGTTAAAGAATGTTTTCATTGCATATACATATATCAAAATTAATGGCTAGAGCAAGAAGAAGGCACAGTTTGCTTTATCGCCGAGCCCCATAAAATAAAAAAAAACTCTACATAACCATAACATACAAATATATATATATATATATATATATATATATATATATATATATATATATATATATATATATATATATATATATATATATATATATATATATATAAAATATATATATATATATATATAATATATATATATATATATATATATATATATATATATATATATATATATATATATATATATATATATATATATATATATATATAATATATATATATATATATATATAATATATATATATATATATATATATATATATATATATATATATATATATATATATATATATATATATATATATATATATATATAACATAAATCAGAATTAAAACAGAAAATAACTAAGAAAATTAAAAAATTCAAAATAGTAAATAATTAAGAAGTGTTGAAATGCTAACGACCGCTAAAATGTTTAAGAATCATTTAAACAAAAAGTTTTGAATAAAAAAACAATATAAAATTTCATAATTAACATTATTACAAGATGAATTTTTAACATCATTACTTAAAATTCATTGATATAAATAAATTTGTTTTTATTTGATTTAATTTACTTTAAAAGAAACATTTGAAGTCAAATAAATTTCAACATTTGAAGTCAAAAGAAATTTCAACATTTGAAGTCAAAAGAAACATTTGAAGTCAAATAAATTTCAACATTTGAAGTCAAAAGAAATTTCAACATTTGAAGTCAAAAGAAACATTTGAAGTCAAATAAATTTCAACATTTGAAGTCAAAAGAAATTTCAACATTTGAAGTCAAAAAAAACATTTGAAGTCAAATAAATTTCAACATTTGAAGTCAAATAAATTCCCTGAATAATAATAATCGTTTTGATTCATTTTTAAATTGCTCTAATGTAGTCTTGTTTTTGTTGACAATCTCTGGGAATTTTTTCCTCAGATAAGGTCCGTGGTATTTAATTGAATTGGAGGTTAATTTTAAATTATACTTGAGAAGAACAAAGTTTTATTAAAATAGGTTTTTAAACACTTTTGGGGACAATCCCATTTTTCTTCAAACAAACAATAAAACTTGGTGTAAATTGAGTTTATACACATTTAATGCACCGAGCGCACGTAAATTTATGATTTCCGTCAAACTCACTGACACAGTCACATAAGTTGCTTTACAACACCACTGTCTTTGGAAGCATTTGATGTTAAAAGTTGTTTGTTTGGTGGATAAAGGATCTGATGATCACTATTTTTTCTACAATGCCGAGAAAAATCTTCAAAAATCCACCTCCTCCATCAATACCTAGTTTTACTATGTATTCAAAAAATATTTTTATTTCTAACAGAGCATAATTCAAAAGGTCAGACAAACTTTTAAAGTGTACATTGATCTTTTCAATTCATGTACCTTAGAAAGTGTGAAAAAGTTGTCAAGACTGCTTCCAATTTCAAGAAAATTTGAATTAATATAGGATTTGATTTTTACTTTTGAAAATTGATATAGTGTTGTCATGACAATTTTCTCATGCCTACGTTGGATATTTTTGTATTAACTTGAATTTTAACAATGAAATCAGGATCTTAAGCTGATACTTTAGCAGGGCCACCAAACAGCGGTCCACCAAACGTTCTTCCATTTGAATTTTAAAATAATGTAAATAAAATAATAAGTGTCGAATGTAAAATTGTACAAGTTGATTCATATAAAAACCAAAAAGATTTTGTATAAATGATATAAAATAAAAGTAAATACATGTTGTTAATGCCAACGGTCTGCCACCTTGTGTCTTGTTAATACAAATTGTTCCTTGTGGTGAGGTATCTCATATTTGAACAATAATTACAGCTGTAATCTGATCTGATATTTTGCTGTCATATGCTGCATGCAATCTCATATTTTCTCATATTTCATGGGAAAGTCTTTTAATCAAATATTGTAAGATATTTTGAGCATCTGGTCTAATTTGTCTACATTAGTTTTATTTTCTGCTTCCAATGTATGTTTGAAGTTAAGTTTTAGTTGACCAATTTAGCAATTAAGACAGTTGCAAGGTTGTTCTCTTGGGGACATTTTTACTTGAGTTTCTTTTTACTTTAACAAGTTGGGATGAGATACGTCCTTGTGCTCATCTTTTCTTCTAATTCCTAAAATACATGCCTCACAAAGTTCCCTGGAAATTTTTTCATTTGAAAAACCACCTTCTAGACCCTAAATTTATGTTACTTTCTCCATGATAAACTTCATGCTTAGCTTTTTGCATACTTAAGAAACGTATATCAAAGGCTTTTAAGCAATCTTCTTTTTCTCGAGGTCAGCTAAGTCAAGTTAGCCAGATTTTTTGACAGGGGTATCAACAAACTAGATACCAATTTCCATCACCTCTGTACCAGTAAAATAATGAAAAAAATGATCACAGAGAAAGCTATGCATTGCGTAATATCGAACAATCTTTTTCTGATGTCAACGTAGAAACGTCAGCAAAAAATTTTGTGTAACAAATCTATTTGAAACTATAGATTTCTTAATCTACATTGCATCTTGTAAGCTTCCTGCTAATGTTCTTTTTCATGATTTTGCATTAAGACATTTGACAAAGTTCCCCACTAAAGGTTACTTAAAAAGATTGAGTCGTACTCAGGTGGTTTAGGATCAGTATAAACTTTTTTTAGTAGTTCGACTGACCTTTTTCATATATCCTTTAAAAAAAATCTGTTTTTTAAAAACTATTGGTTGAACTGAATAATAACTAACACAAGTTGTCCCAAATAAAAAATTTTTTTATTGACGACACTAAATTCCCCTTCAACTAAAGGAAGAATATTTACAAAAGTATTACTTAAAAT